CGACACTTATTATAACGTGTCGTTCGGCCATGATTATTTCATGGGCAGCTGTTATCGCGAAAATGTCAGGATACTCTTCCTTCCTTCCAGTGTTCGTGTTCGATCTTTGGTCGCGAAATATACGAGTGACGATATCCTCGGGACGCTTCGCAAAACGCGAAAACGGTTCCGGCCTGGCTGGCGATCCCGGCAGAAATATTTCACTGGACGTCCACACGTCTCATCGCTGATACGTGCCGTACATGTGACAACGAGACGGCCGACGGACGTCTCGCCAGGGGGAGGGTGCGTTTTAGACTTATCCGTTGTACGTCATGCCGCATAGTGCCGCATAGTGCGAAACGAGGTAGAATACGACGACAGGGGGGAGCATTTTATCACACAACTTACCTGAAATTTTGGCAGATTTTAGTGAAGATATTAATGTTATTATAGTTTAATTATTTTATTTTGCATACCAACAAATAATAAATGCTATAAAATGTTGAAACTTTAAGTAAATAAAATTTCAGAATAGCAAAGGAACATTAAAATGAAATGAATGTTGGAAACATTATTTCTTCCTCTTGTTAACACAAAAGTGACGCGACTATGGGGCTCTGGAGGGTGTGCGTCACAACACCACCACGAAAGGACTGTCATTATCGAGAGATATATTCCTGACACGCGCACCCGGGCGATACGGGACCGTCCGGTGAAAAAGAGAGAGCAACAGCGCCGGAGCAAATGAATCAGGGTTCTCTTGTCTGCGACATAGACAGGACACAGCATCGATTTTCGTGTCTCCTCGCGCTTCCTCGTCGCCCACACGCCATTAATAACATCGCGATAATAGAGTAAAGTTGCCTGATATGGGGAGATTTTTTCGTAAGAGTTTATAACTTTGTCTATAATACTATATTTGACTTGGTGAAACATGTATAATATTTCATAGAGATATATCTGTAAAATATTATTCTCTTAGACACATAAAATTATTAGTTTTTGAGATATATTCCCACACAAGGTCTAAAATCGGGACATAAGACGACGTCTGAGAAACGTTTTTAAGATGTCTTTTACATTTTATATGTATAATTTAATTAATTTAAGTAAATCTACCCCCTCCCCCAAAGTTACACTTCGATTTCTTTCTAATCTGGCACAAATATAGTACAAAAAATATTTAGGTTATATTTTTTAATTTTGGGCCACTTTGAGTGGGCATTTATTCCTTATTTATTAATATAAATTTTCACGGGCAGTTTATAGCTTTTTAATGTTCTCACTCCTATCATCAACAAGTACAATAAAAATGCATAAGAAATAAAATTGAATACAAGATATAATTAAATAATTTTAATAAAATCTGTATAGCTGAGAGACACGGATCATTCTTCTGACTAATTTAGCACAGATTTAAAATATTTCGGTTGGAATCTCGGCTAAAAAAAATTTAGAATGGTTTGTGTCTCAGCTATGTCGATTTTGTTAAAATTATTTAACTATATCTTGTATTCAATTTTATTTCTTATGCATTTTTATTGTGCTTGTTGATGATAGGAGTGAGAACATTAAAAAGCTATAAACTGCCCGTGAAACTCAAAATGAAAAAATGACAAATATTTTTTGTACTACATTTGTGTCAAATTAAGAAAAAATCGGAATGTACCTTTTAGATAAGTTAACTTGTAAGTAAGGGGGAAGTTTTACAAAATTTGCACAAAATAAACACAAATAAATACAAAAAAGTAAGAAATTATACATACTTATATAGACAATTAACAACACTAACAAAAAAAGAAAGAGCAATTATATTTTTACTCAAATAAAAAATAGATTTAAGAAAATATGTTGTTATAGTACCGAAGAAATATATTTTATCTTTTCAATATTTTTCTCTCACAATGTATTTATGTACAATTTTATATAATTTTACTTGTATACACTTCTTTTCACTCGGGTATATACAATGATGAAGATTAATCAACGAGCTCGTGTGTTCCTCCTTCTGTTGTAAAAAAAATATAGTTGGCGCCGAGGATGAGCATAATTTCTCTCTGTGAGATCGGCCGTTTTGTTCCACCCAGCACGATGCCCGAACAAATCTGACCCATTTCGTGCTTTCTGATGACGCGGCACTCTTCGCCAGGGAACGCGTCGTCGCAGATCACCGGTCTGATGGCCGCTAAAGGGTGCTTCCGGTTGATGTAACCGTTTCAAAGCTCTCGATGCAGCCGCCCGATGCGGTCGCGCCTATCGCAGCGTGTATCGAAAGTCCCATCCGAGCACTGTCCTATCTGTAGTGACGTAGTGGGCTCTGTGCAAGATGCACAGACAAAAGGCCGCGGTGCTAAAGTTCAAATGCGCGAACTGTCGCGCTCACAAAAGGTTCCGCCTTTGTGCACGCCACCGGCGCGTCGATGTAATTGAAAGCGCGCCGCGATTATTCATGTCGCCGACACGAGCTCGATATCCCGTTATCGCAACGTAATAGGCGTCGATGAAGTAAAAGTCATGTAATTAATAACTGTGGTGTGTTTGTGCACGGTGCGAGAGGAGTCGTTCGGCGACTCGAGGCGTACGTTTCGTAGATTGCACACTCAATCGGAGTGTATGAAGTTGGCACCCCACTTTTTGAAATTTATAACTTTGAAAGTTGTTCCAGATTGTTCTGACTTTGTACCACATTGTTCCAAAGTGATATTGCTTCATTCGAAACGGTTTTCGAATAAAACAAAAAAAAATGATTTTTTGAGCTGGCACCCCACTTTTCGAAAATCGAACATTCTGATACCGATATAGATTGTTCTAGTTGTTCCAAACATTGTTCCAAAAGCACAAATCAATAAGTTTAATTATAAGCCCGAAAAATTAAAAAAAAGTTTTTTGACAAACAGTCTATCGGACCAAGAGTAAACTTATACTATCTTTCTTGTTCCAACCGAGATCTTTTTGTTCTGAGTTGTTCTAGGCTTAAGAATTATAGTTCTAGAGTATGAGACTCATAAGATCATTCGTTCTCCGAAAATTCGTAAAAAAATCGATTTGACAGTACTCGACGTCAAGAGTAAACACATGCTTCCTTTCTTGTTCCAACTGAGATCTTTTTGTTCTGAGTTGTGCTAGGCTTAAGAATTATAGTTTTAGAGTATGAGACTCGTAGCATCATCCGTTTTCCGAAAATTCGTAAAAAAATCGATTTGATAGCACCCGACGTCAAGAGAAAACACTTGCTTCCTTTCTTGTTCCAACTGAGATCTTTTTGTTCTGAGTTATACTAGGCTTAAACGACGAAGCAATTT